TTTTTTTTTTTTTTTTTAAAAGCGCATACAAGTATTTAAAATTTTTTCCGTCTATATTTATATACGTTTATGTATTTTGTCACGGTTATAATATAAATACTTAAAGCGATTGTCAATCAATTTTTTTGGTAAATAAAAAGACTTTATAAGGGATTTGTAATTATATTATTATTAATAGAATATGTTTGGACCAAGGGCCAAGGCTAATGACCCTTTTGTTGATTTTGTACCACATTCATCGCAAATGCACAAATGGGCTTTAACCCGGTAAATGCCAAGATTCACTACTTGAACATACGCCAAGAAGTTAGTATCATTTAGTCAAAATTCAACCCTTTTATGATGACTATAATATTTCAAACGCAATTTTAGCTAATTTTAGAAATATGATAATTACTAGCAAATCAAATTTATTTTATAAAAACGATATTTTAATTTTATTGTCGTTTCTTTTTTAATTCTTTTTTAATGATTTACAAAATGTAACACAATGTGAGTTAATGACGAAATTTTTTTAGGATCATGAAATCATCAAATCATGAAATCATAAGATATACTTTTTTTTTGGTACGCAAAAGTTTTGACTTTGTGTATAGTCAATATGATTCAACAACCCATTTTCGGTAAAACCATAATAGGTCAGGAAGATAATCATATACCATAAAGAATCTTACAAGAACAAGGACCGATATCCGTTATATTATTATCTTTGTCAGATTGAAAAATCGGTCAAAGCCTCAAATTGAATGTGAATAGAAAAGCCTCAATTGCCTATTTATCTTACATCCCGAGATCGATCATTCGTTATCGCAACAGGTTTTTTTTTTAGAGAATCCGGATAAAACGTAATCCAATTATATCATATTTCAATTATTTCATGTTGGATTTATTACTTTTTTGATGCCGAGCAACGAAGGAAAAGATTATCAAAGGAGAATGTAAATCATTTATAATTAATTTAATGGTTTTAACTAAAACAAATAAATAAAATATACACGAGAAAATTTTATTATAAAAAAAGTTACCATTATTTTATAAATAGAAAAAAGGGGTTAAAGTTGAATTATTTTTAAAATGGAGATAATTTTTTTTTTAAAAAAAAACAGTAAAATTAAATAATCATTTTTAAAAAAATAAGGTTGATACATTCATGCCATATATACATACCATACTAAAATGCAGATGCATACCATACTAATACTATGTTTTAATCATAAAAAACCGGGTACCTCATGTATAATATGCCCGGGGTACTTACTATACTACTATACATTCTAGGGGTATACTATAGTCTATGTCTCTATGAGTTATTATTATACAGGATGCTTTTTGCAGCTCAGGAGATGAAAGAAAAAAAACAAAAAAATTGTTATTATCACTTATTATGATTGAATCAATTTCATTTTCATTGAAATTTGACTTTATCATAAATTATAAATAAAAAAGCACAATTTTTTAATTACAAAGAGATTGTTTGTCGTAAAAAAAATATTACTGTACAGCGGATTACACAAATTTAGACTTCATTGATAATCATTTTTTATAATTTATAATTCGTCAACCAAAATTTTTAACGAAGCATTTACGTATGTGAATATTTTTTATTTTTTAATTGACGTTTGATCTCTCGTTTCACTCTTTGTCTTTTTTTTCTGTTGTGCAGGAGTTTTTTTTACATTATGCAAGGAACTAAATAATACTCTCAAGCTCGTTTCAGACTAAACATATTTAGATCTTAAAATTCGAACCCAAGTTTAAAAATTTCTATTAAGAATGATATTACAAACCAACCATTTTTGAATGTTTCGATATTTCTTTTTTTCCGACCGGAAAATTTCACAAATCCGCGGATTATCATTTTGCCGGATGTAATATGAGCTTTTTTTATTGTATCACATTAATATTTTTAATCATGCAAATTTTATTGATATTCCCAATTGTTTTAATATGTGAATATTCTTTTTAACATTATAATTTGGGATTGAAAAGATGTGATTTTAGTTGAACGCGTTTTCCGGTTTTAATTAGGTGGTACTTACTGGACATCTAAAAAAAACGCGATCCCCGTTTGAACCAATTAAATTTGTATCGTTAATTGATCCATGCAACTAACTTTCGGGGAGACGGGAAAGTGTAAATTATAAGAAAAACTTGTTAAGGAAAAACAACCATGATATCTATCATTATTCATAAAATTGCAAATAGAAAATAGTGAGATATTAATGACACGGAAATGAACAAAGCTTAAAATTGAACCAAACCCAATTCTTTAAATATCAAACATATTAAATTAATGATATAGACAAATTATGGCACATATATTTAAAATACAACAATTTGAGGTTAGACTTATTGCAATGGATATAGTCATATATCAGATACTTTAGTTATTGGGTAAGGATATTGCAATTACTAAGATGCGAAGCATCTCGGTCTCTCAGATGATATAATATCCTCCCTACCCAATAAAACTATGTTGTGCTGGTGCTCTGAGTGAAGTATACAGTATATATCTTCGGAAGGGTCCAATTGTTCCTTAAAATATAACGATTATTAATCAAATCCAAAATTTAAAAACAGATACTCAACATAATAGTGAATTCATCGTATTTCAATTCTTTTCTATATGTGATGCACAGTGATTTATGATCAAATTTTTTTAGACATTCAAAATAAAGCAGTATACTTTACAGATATTTATAATCATTACCTTTGACATTAAATTTTATATCAAATTAACCACAAGAGCTTGAAAGTTGCATATTATGGAATATAATTATAACAATAAATTTGATGACCTTAAAAATATGTGTCATTTGGTTCAGTTGGCTTAATTTTAATAGGTTTAAACCAGTTTTTACGGGTTGACTCAAAATATCAATGCATCAATCCGGAAAATAAATTCTGGATCCACATCTGCTTCGTTTTCCGCAGCAAATTTGAATTAAGTATGTCAATTTTGTTGACAACTTAGCCACATAGTGACCCCGTTTCTGCTACAAAAATAAAAAGTAACAAACTGGGAGATAGGGATTGGAATCGATTCAATCGAAAATCGAAACCCGAGAATCGATTTAAGAATCGTTTCTCAGTAATTTTACAAAAAAAATATTTTTTAAACATTTTCGTGATGCAACGCTTTTGATGATCCCGGCGGCACAAAATTTTAGGTGGATTTTAACTAAAATACTAAAATAATCTTTATTGTAAAATTTGAAAATTTTTGATTAAAAAGTAAAATGATTTTATTTTTGCACTGAATAAAAACCCTGAAAATTAATTAGCTAAAGTAATTATTATATAAAAAGTCAAAAATATATGCGTAAATATGCAGTAGACATTTTTGGCCCGCATTATAGAATTATATTTAATTCTGGACAAAAGATGATACAGGCGAAATTATCAATCAATAAAAAAATTTTTTTTTAATTAATTAAACATTAGCCACAAATCCCACAATTAACTTGATTGGATAATATTTAATTAAATTCTCAATTGTCTAATTGTCCAATATCCAATTATTATTGGTTAAAAAGCCATTCCAATTGTTAAATTTTTTCAAGATTATATTTGCTGCACCAAAATATAAAAAAATTTGATTTATTGGGATGAGATTTGATTAATCAATTCTATTAGATATGATTCAATTTTTGATTAAATCAATTTTAGTCAATCTCCATCTACTGTAGTGTTCCTCATAAGTTGAGTTGAATTGAGTCTCAATTTTTTATATGATAAAATTTGTCCTATGCTAATTTTTATAATACTTTAACTATATTATTTATGTTATGCAAGTCTATATGAGTCATTTTGAGTCGCATATGCAGGATACTAGTCTACTGGAAAATATTTCTGCAATGTGTTTTTATAATTGTTGTAAATGTATAAGGTGAACTTTTAAAATGAAATAAGGTATTTTTGATGATTAGTAGTTGAAATGCAAAATTATAATATAAGTTTTTATTTGGAAAAATCCATTTATTAAGAGCTTAGATATAAAGTAGATATAAAGTCATTAGTAGGGTATTTTGATATAAAATTTTTATTTCAACTTTTGCTATAGAATTCAATTGATTCCTGATTAATTAATTATACTGCTTAATTTAGAACTTTTTGCATTATTGGAAGGTAGTTAGTAGAAAAAAAAGTTTATACTTATTATATAAGGAGAAAAATAAAGGAATAGGAAAAGATGTAGTATATTAATAGTTGAAAATATATACAAATCCTGGCATTTTGCATCATATACAGTAATAAATACAAAAATAATAAAATTAAGAATTGTTTAATAAATTAATTTTTTTATTTGAGTTAAGATTCAGATAATGCTAGTCAAATTTTTTCATTCTTTTAATCCAATAACTTACTTTTTTATTATTTGAGAAATTAATAAAATTATTACATTTATTTTATTCTTTATAAATTATAGAACTAAAAAATAAGAATTTACTAACTTTCACATTTTTTTCTAAAGTAAAATTTATAAGTATATATTATATATATTATACTTCAAATATTGATTTATATTAGATTTAACTTATTGTAAGAAAATTTCACAAATTTGTATTGAAATTTTATATTTATAAATATAATAAATAAATTTAATTAATTAATAATAAAGTAAATTTATACTGAAAAATTTATTGTTTAATTATAATTAAAAATTTGAAAAAATATTATTTATAATAAATAATTTAATATTAAAATATTTATTTTAAATTTTAGAATATATGTAATTTATTATAATAGGGAATTCTTTCCTATAGATTTTATTTTTAGAATTTCTTATTAAAAATTCATTTTTGAAGAAAGTATATAGGAAAAGTTAATGTAGAATAAAAAAACAACAACAAAACAAAAGCAGTTTGAGCTTGAATTAGGAATGAATATATTTACTAAGAAGTTACAATCTATTTTTACTGAGTTTTTGAAGAATATTTTCAAAAATATTTACAAAATTATCAGATAATATATTATATACTGAATTTTTGGCATAATATAAAACAGATTTTTCAACCTATTAATGCAAATAAGCTGTTATAATATAGTGCTATAATCTATAGATAGAACTATATCAGAAAAGTAAAATACTTTTTATAGCAAACTAATACCTATCAGTATCTATATGAACTATTATTAAAGCATCTTTTCAAATTAAGTCAAATTAAGTCAAGTTAAATTTGAATTAATTTAAAGTACTATTTATACAGTAGAGTATATCCTATTAATTGTTTAAACTATATTACTTATATTATTATATGAGTCTATATAAGTCTATATAAGTATTATGTGATTTAAATTTAGAATACTACAGTTGTATAGTATTTTTCAGTATTTTTTAAGAAGTTACAGAAAAACAATTTGAATTAACTAGCAATAATGTTTAAAATATAAGTTTTACAATTGATCAAGATAATAGTAATTAATTAGCAAATAATAGTAGTATTAAGATACTTATTTTAGAATTTCACCTCTCATTTATATATTAATTACAATCAGTGTTACATTCCAAAAAGAAAAAATTCTTTTAGTTCAATATATATTGAAAAGAAAATGTAAAAGAAAATTTTACCAAAAAAAAAAGCAAAGGCTGCCAATTTTATGATTAATAAAGTTTTTTTGGAATTGAAAGTTAAATTTTTATAGTAAAAACTTGATTTATTAAAAGTTAATAGACACCATTAATTTCAAAAATAAGCAAGAATAAAAAAAAAATTGATATTAAAGAAGAGGCTGTACCTTTTATCATAGAATATCAGTTAACAAAATCTACTTTAACATATGTTAATAATATTATAATTTATAATATTTTTCAATCTAAAAAAATGTTAAATTGTTATACCATTTAAAAACTTGAAGCAAAGTCATTTTCATAAAAATCATATGATAAAAGAAATATATAATGAAGTAAAAATAAATATTATATGTAAACAAATTTAAAATAACAGTATTTAGAACTTTAGATTGCACTATTAGAAAACTTATCAGTTAAATAGTATTTTGCTATTTGGTTTTTTCATAAAAGAAAAAAACAAAAGAGAATTTTTAAATTAATAGAAATTAAATTAAATATATTTGTTAAATATACTTATATATAATTTAAATAATATTATTAATTAATAATATAAAAGTAATAGCATAAATTATATTATTTAATTTTATGAAAAAATGTATTTGTAACAGCCTGTTACATATCTTATTTGTAACATCCTTTTTTATTTTTTTTTAATAATAAATTTAATATGTGTTTCACAAATAAAATTTTTATATGCAAAATTTAATTTGGAAAACTTTTATTTAATGTATTTAAGACAGTTTCATAGACAAAATTTTAAGTTATAAGCAGTTTCTTGAAATTTTTTAAAAAATTCTTTTGTCTTAGTTACACAACTGATCTTTTGTTTTTGTTTACATTACGCCTAATCTTAAATTTTAATTGGATAAAATTGGGGTTGTTACAAATAAGACGTGTAACAGGCTGTTACAATTAGATTTATCCTAATTTTATTAACTAATACTTTTTATAAAATATTTAATATTAAAATTAATATTATAGTATTAATTTCTATTAATTATTGCAGTATTTTTAATAGTCAAGTTATAACTTAATTATTAGCATATGGGCAGATTTGGCTCAACAAAAAATCACTCTGTGAGACATCACTCCATTGTTGTCATATCACATAACATATGCATTTGATTGGTTACTAAAAAGCTGTTTTATTACTTAAATTAGAAATAGGATTAAAAATACTATTAAAATAGGAAATTCGAAAATTTGTCCAAAAAATGTAAACTGAAACGTGACGCTATGAAGTTTTCTATTTAATACGCGTTTTCACATAATGAAATACATATGTTGCCTTTGTTCTACTAATCCTCCAAGAACTTTTTCATCAAAAAGTTCACTTTCTTTCCATGAAAACAATATCCACCCAAATAATAAAATAATACCTCACTCACGTCGCCTAACTTCTCCATCTTTATATGATATTTGCCAATTTAAAAACTCTTTTATTATGCAGTTAAAAGCACGTTTGCAATTCCATAGAAGTGAACCTAGAGCTAAAACTCTAAAAATGGAACCCTTTTCTGAAGGACTTTTTATTATTTTGTTTTATAATAAATCAACTTTTCAATATTCTCCAGCTCAAAGAAAATATATTTGCAAATTTAAGGGTACTTAAGGTTATGAACAACTGGGAATTCTTTTTGGTAATAAAGACTGGGGTAGTAAAAGGAGACGTACAGGAACATGCGCATATGTATTAATGCAAAATGCGCAATAAACTTATAATGTTACCTTTATTTGGAAGGAACGTATATATAAAGATTCTGACACACAATTGCGTTGTGGTTCAATGCGTTTTGAATTTAATGTTGATGTAAGAGACTATGTAGAAGGTAATATTAAAACTTAATTTTACTTTTATATCCTAATGGTTCAATATATATTTGGTTACATTTTTTTTAAGCATACAAAGCCTAACTAATTATATGAATTTTAACTTAGAATATCCAGAGAAATTGGTGAAAAAGTTTGATAATGCAACGAAAAGTATAGTATAATAAATAGTCAAATGTAAAAATTATCATAATAGAATAATAGAAGTAATAAAAATAAAATTTAAATTTTATATTTATATTTTATTTTTATTTTTTTTTTTTCTGAAGATCAATTCATATAGAAATTTGTGTATTTGAATTACATTTCATATTATATATACAACAAATACATTAATCTAATATACTATCGTCCCTCCACTATAAAGGTTGTGAATATGATCTGTTCGTCCTTCTTATCCCCCTTTCAATTATACATTGTCACCTTTTCCCTCTATATTATACTATTGTTTGCTATAAATCCTATATTATTTCTTCTTGTGTACTATCCAATCTTTCCTGCCGCCCAGCCTGATGTGTTGATTAGGAGTAACAACAATCTTTCTCTATCTAATGCTAAAGAACTTTGTTCTTGTTATGTAAGTATTTTCCATTCGCCTACATTTGTCATTTATCTCACAGTCTATTAACAATATTGGTTCATCATTAGGTTATTGTGAAAACTTCTTTTGGAGATCCCTTTTTGCGCTTCCCATATTTTGATGGTGGAGTATCTATATGACCAAATTGAGACATAAATTTTCAACAAACTTGTAGATGAGGAATGCAGCAATATACTGTATGTTGATAACGAAGTTTTGATGGTGTTTATACTTAAAGTTGTCAAAGTGGGAGTTGCGAAATAGGCTCCTAAATAATTTGGGGGAGGTGTTAAAATTAATATTTTAGTCTTGTATATACAATAGATTAGTGAGTAAATACACTATTTTTTTTGTTTTTGTAAAAATGTCCTGTAATTTTGTAACATTCTTTAGTGTTATTTATAGTGTTATTTTTGTAACCACTCGTATTTGTACATATTATGCTGAATTTTTTTCTTTTGAACAATTATTGTTTAATAATTATTGTTTCAATGATATCAATAAATAAAACAATAAAATATAAAAGTATTACACGTAGTTAAAAAAATCAAAATATTAAGAAAAATGCATTATTTTTTATTAAAAAAATCTGTTTTTGATGATATGCATTTTTATGTTAAAAATACAAACGTAAAAAAATGGATCGGCCAGGTAATTTAATGGATTATTTATCTATTAATCCATTAGATCAACCGGCCGAAAATGATTTGCGAAAATTGATTAAATATTATTTTATCTGGTATTCTCATAACAAAATAAATTTATTTAAAAAATATATACATAAAGCTGTTATCATTAAAAAAAAATAATTAAGTTTTAATTTCAATTGATTTTCTTGTATACCTAATTGGTGTATCTTGCATTTGATAATACAATTGCCGGTTTTCATAATATAAAATATCATGAACTACAGGTTTTTTTGATTTACCCCCACCCATTCTAGTTCCTCCAAAGAATAATCGCACCTAAATGATTATTAAAATTAATTATATATAATTTTTATTAATCATTTGACAAATTTACCTGTTGGTGATTTTTTTTTTCGATACTTGATGTTGAAAAATATCGTAATACCATTCCTTTTTGATTCAAATATCGCATAAATTGGGAAACATGTTGAGCGAACACATGCATGTATGGGGAGACATCTGTGCGCAAATACATTCCCTGTTGCTGATTAGCACTATTCATAGTACCAATAGTAGGACGACAAAAATTATGAATCCACTATTTTGCGTCAGCTTCAAACTGATCAATTTCCAAATCTGTTATTGATTTTTGGCGAATTATTTTGTAAAGCCGATAAAATTCACGCCAAAGCTGTTCAATTTCTTGTCCTCTTGTAGATTGTCGTCCAAAAAGATGTGCCACTTGAAATTCTTTCAGTATTTTTTTCTTGTCAGGACCCATAAGAGATGTCCACTCCCATTTTCCATTTTTTGTAGTAGGCAGATAGAATTCAAAATGAATGTGAAGTCTTTTCATCTCTGTAATTATCATTGGCTGCACATTATTTGCAAAATCTTTATGCTTCATAAGTTCATAAAATAAACATTGAAAGAGTACATCAGAAATTCGTAACATGAGATGCAACTCATCAGGGATCCAATTATTTTGATCAAGTGCTTGAAAAAGCATTGTGTTTTTGCATCCTATAATAATTTTCAATTATTGTTAAAATCATTAAATATATAATGAAAAAAAATCATATAACTATTTATTAAAAAATAACAAAAATACATTTTATATACCACGTGTATTTCTTGAATTTACCCATACTAAATCCATGTTATATCGTTAATCTTTATGGCAATCACAATATAAACAGAAATAATTGGATGTCGGTGCATTAATTCCTAAGGCTAAGGCTACAAATTTCCAATCACCTGAAAAAAAAAATTCAACTGGCCAAATTGTATTATTTGAAGCCTTATATCCATTTGTTTTTAATTGTTCAAGTTCTTGTAAAAATATGGCTGATACTGTAGATAAGGAATCATAAGATTCTTTTCCTATATATAAGCAAATGCTGTAATAAAAAAACTTTAAATTAATAATTAATTTATAAATCATAAATCATAAATTAAAAAATATGTTAATATTACCTGTATTGATGTGTAGGATTCAAAACCATTTCACCTTCATTAAGAATGCACATAGTAAGTATAACATGTTTTTGCTTGCGCCCCACATTTCTTCCATCTCCACTTATTCTTATATTAATTTTATTACCAATTTTTAATACAGGAGATGTTGAAGTGGCCAAGATTGGAACTATAATATCTAATAGAGATGTAATAGAACGGTAAGCACCATTTCCCACTTCTTCATCATCAAATTCTACTTCACTGATATTTTGCTGACTATCATCTCCATAATTATTAATAGCAGTACTACAAATATTAAATGATTTAATGGGGACAAGTATTTTCATTGATTTTGTAATTTCATTTCGGCGTTTTTCAATTACATGTTCTCTTGTTAAATTAGGAATAGCTTGTGCTAATCTGCGATACCCATCACGTGAAATTAATGTTTCATCACATGCACGAACAATTGAATCTAAATGTTTAATGTCATCATCAGCTGCATTATTAAAATCAAAATGTAATTCAACAATTTCACCATTAATCCTAAGTATTATTGATTCAACAGTTGCAATAATTTCTTCAGATGTAGATAGTGTTCCGAACGGATCGAATCAGATCGGATTTGAGATGAATCCGATCTGATCCGAATTCGGATCAAAAAAAGTTGGATTTGATCTGATCCAAATTCGGATCAAAAATAATTGGATCCGATCCGATCTGAATCCGAAATGAGCTTGATTCGATTCGGTCTGAATCCAATTCGGATAAAACCGATCCGGTCCGAATCCGATCTGAATCAGAAGTTAAAAAAACGTTTCGCAACGTTTTTTTAAAGATTTATTTAATAAAAAACGTTGCGAAACGTTTTTTATTTCAATTTAAACGAAAAAAAACCGTTGCGAAACGGTTTTTTAACGAATTTAATAAAAACTGTTGCGAAACGGTTTATTTAATTAAAAAGAACCGTTTTGCAACAGTTTTTTAAATTGTTTTAGTATAAACCGTTGCGAAACGGTTTATTTAATTAAAAAGAACCATTGCGAAATGGTTTATTTAATTAAAAAGAACCGTTTTGCAACGGTTTTTTAAAATATTTTAGTATAAACCGTTGCGAAATGGTTTATTTAATTAAAAAGAACTGTTTCGCAACGGTTTATTTAACTAAAAAGAACCGTTTTGCAACGGTTTATTTAACTAAAAAGAACCGTTTTGCAACGGTTTATTTAACTAAAAAGAACC